CAAACCCCCCCCAGCCCCGTACCCCAGTTTCTGGTTGAGCAGCCGTTTCTCCTTGGCCGCCGCCAGCTTCTCGCGGATCTCCTCGCGCTGCCGCAGCGCCAGGGGATTGATCAGCTCGGCCGCCAGCGGCTCCTCCTTGGTGCCTGCCTCTGCCCCCCGAGCAGCCCCAGAGCAGACCAAGGTCAGCCCAAAATCGGCCCAAAACCAGCCCCAAAATCAGCCCCAAAATCAGCCCCAGAGCAGACCAAGGTCAGCCCAAAATCGGCCCAAAACCAGCCCCAAAATCAGCCCCAAAATCAGCCCCAGAGCAGACCAAGGTCAGCCCAAAATCGGCCCAAAATCAGCCCCAAAATCAGCCCCAGATCAGCCCAAAACCAGCCCCAAAATCAGCCCCAGAGCAGCCCAAAATCAGCACAAAACCAGCCCCAAACCAGCGCCAAAATCAGCCCAAAAGCACAGCAAAATCAGCCCCAAAATCAGCCCCAGAGCAGACCAAGATCAGCCCAAAACCAGCACCAAAATCAGCCAAAAACCAGCCCCAAAATCAGCCCCAAAATCAGCCCAAAACCACCCCAAAATAAAACCAGCCCCAAAATCAGCCCAAAACCAGCCCCAAAATCAGCCCCAGAGCAGACCAAGATCAGCCCAAAACCAGCACCAAAATCAGCCAAAAACCAGCCCAAAACCAGCCCCAAAATCAGCCCAAAACCAGCCCCAAAATCAGCCCAAAATCAGCCCAAAACCAGCCTCAAAATCAGGCCCAAAACCACATCAAAATCAGCCCCAAAATCAGCCCCCAATCAGCCTAAAATCATCCCCAAACCAGCCCAAGTCCACCCCAAAATCAGCCCCAAATCAGCCGAAAATCAGCCGAAAATCAGCCCCAAAATCAGTCTCAAATCAGCCCCAAATCAGCTCCAGGGCACCCCAAAAATCACCCCAAAATCAGCCCCAAATCATACCAAAATCAGCCTCAAATCACCCCAAATCCACCCCAAAATCAGCCTAAAAATCAGCCCCAAATCACCCCAAAATCAGCCTCAAATCAGCCCCAGGGCACCCCAAAAATCAGCGCAAAATCAGCTCCAGGGCACCCCAAAAATCAGCCCAAAATCATAACAAAATCAGCCCCAAATCATAACAAAATCAGCCCCAAATCAGCTCAAATCCACCCCAAAATCAGCCCCAAATCAGATCCAAGTCAGCCCAAAATTAGAACCAAATCAGCCCAAAATCACCCCAAAATTTGGTGAAATCTACCCAAAAATCAGCCCCAAATCAGCCTAAAATCAGCCTCAAATCAGCCCCAGGG